CGTAAAGTAATTATACTAATTTTTAATTTCAGATTGTAAACAAATGGAACACGGCGCTTATAGGCTTGATGACCTACTTCCGAGAGGCTGTGGTCAATACGCAGGAGCTACTGGATTTGCTGGTCAAGTGCGAGAATAAAATTCAGACCCGTATCAAGATTGGCCTGAACTCCAAAATGCCTTCCCGTTTCCCGCCTGTTGTGTTCTACACACCGAAGGAGTTGGGCGGTCTGGGAATGTTGAGCATGGGTCACGTCTTGATTCCGCAATCCGATCTGCGCTGGTCTAAGCAAACGGATGTGGGCATTACCCATTTCCGCTCTGGTTGGTTTTGAATTAAGTAGAGTTTTAATACATGTTGCTAATGAATTTGTTATTTATAGGTATGTCCCACGACGAGGATCAGCTTATTCCCAATCTATATCGCTACATCCAGCCCTGGGAAAGCGAGTTCATCGACTCGCAGCGTGTGTGGGCGGAATATGCGTTGAAGCGCCAAGAGGCGAATGCCCAAAACCGTCGGCTTACGCTGGAGGATCTGGAGGACAGCTGGGATCGCGGTATTCCGCGTATCAACACGCTCTTCCAGAAGGATCGTCACACATTAGCTTACGATAAGGGCTGGCGCATTCGAACTGAGTTTAAGCAGTACCAGGTACTGAAACAGAATCCCTTCTGGTGGACTCACCAGCGGCACGACGGCAAGCTGTGGAACCTGAACAACTACCGCACGGACATGATCCAGGCGCTGGGTGGAGTGGAGGGCATTTTGGAGCACACACTGTTTAAGGGCACTTACTTCCCCACCTGGGAGGGTCTGTTCTGGGAGAAGGCCTCCGGGTTCGAGGAGTCGATGAAGTACAAGAAGCTGACCAATGCCCAGCGATCCGGTCTCAACCAGATTCCGAATCGTCGCTTCACACTGTGGTGGTCACCAACCATTAATCGTGCGAATGTGTACGTGGGTTTCCAGGTGCAGTTGGATCTGACGGGAATATTCATGCATGGCAAGATTCCCACGCTGAAAATCTCGCTGATTCAGATCTTCCGAGCCCATTTGTGGCAGAAGATCCACGAGTCGATTGTGATGGATCTGTGTCAGGTGTTTGATCAAGAACTGGACGCTCTAGAGATCGAGACGGTGCAGAAGGAGACGATCCATCCCCGAAAGTCCTACAAGATGAACTCCTCGTGTGCGGACATCCTGCTCTTCCCCGCCTACAAGTGGAATGTGTCGCGGCCCTCATTGTTGGCCGACACCAAGGACACAATGGATAACACCACCACCCAAAAGTACTGGCTTGATATCCAGCTGCGTTGGGGTGATTACGATTCGCACGATGTGGAGCGATATGCGAGGGCCAAGTTCCTCGACTACACCACGGACAACATGTCCATCTATCCCTCTCCCACGGGCGTCTTGATAGCCATCGATCTGGCCTACAATCTGCATTCAGCTTACGGCAATTGGTTCCCTGGTTGCAAGACTCTCATCCAACAGGCCATGGCGAAAATCATGAAGGCGAATCCAGCTTTGTATGTGCTTCGTGAACGCATCCGCAAGGCACTGCAACTTTACTCGTCGGAGCCAACGGAGCCATACCTCAGCTCGCAAAACTACGGAGAGCTGTTCTCCAACCAGATCATTTGGTTCGTAGACGACACCAACGTGTATCGCGTCACAATCCACAAGACATTCGAGGGAAATCTGACAACGAAGCCCATTAATGGAGCAATCTTCATCTTTAATCCGCGTACGGGTCAGCTTTTCTTAAAGATCATTCACACCTCTGTGTGGGCAGGTCAGAAACGTCTGGGACAGCTGGCCAAGTGGAAGACTGCTGAGGAGGTGGCTGCGCTGATTCGATCGTTGCCAGTGGAGGAGCAGCCCAAACAGATTATTGTGACGCGAAAGGGCATGTTGGATCCGCTGGAGGTGCACTTGCTCGACTTCCCCAACATTGTGATTAAGGGATCCGAGCTGCAGCTGCCATTCCAGGCTTGCCTCAAAGTGGAGAAGTTTGGAGATTTGATCCTCAAGGCCACAGAGCCGCAGATGGTGCTGTTCAACCTCTATGACGATTGGTTAAAGACCATTTCTTCATACACGGCCTTCAGTCGTCTCATCCTCATTCTGCGTGCTCTCCACGTGAATACAGAAAGGACGAAGATTATCCTGAAGCCGGACAAGACCACCATTACGGAGGCGCATCATATTTGGCCCACACTGACGGACGAGGAATGGATAAAGGTGGAGGTGCAGCTCAAGGACCTTATTCTCGCCGATTACGGCAAGAAGAACAACGTGAATGTGGCCTCGTTGACGCAGTCTGAAATCCGTGACATTATCCTCGGCATGGAGATCAGCGCTCCGTCTGCGCAACGCCAGCAGATCGCAGAGATCGAGAAGCAGACCAAGGAGCAGAACCAACTGACCGCCACGACTACGCGTACCACAAACAAGCACGGTGACGAGATCATCACCTCTACCACGTCCAATTATGAGACGCAGACGTTTAGCTCAAAGACCGAATGGCGAGTGAGAGCGATCTCAGCCACCAATCTGCACCTGCGAACGAACCACATCTACGTGAGCTCGGACGACATTAAGGAGACCGGCTACACTTACATCCTGCCCAAGAACATACTGAAAAAGTTTGTCACCATATCGGATCTGCGTGCCCAGATTGCGGGCTACCTGTACGGAGTAAGTCCACCAGACAACCCGCAGGTGAAGGAGATCCGCTGCATCGTGATGCCGCCACAGTGGGGCACCCACCAGACGATCAACCTGCCCAATGCCCTGCCCACGCATCAGTATCTCAAGGACATGGAGCCGCTAGGCTGGATCCACACGCAGCCCAACGAGTTGCCGCAATTGTCGCCGCAGGACATCACGACGCACGCGAAGATCATGCAGGAGAATTCCAACTGGGATGGCGAGAAGACGATAGTGATCACTTGCTCCTTCACGCCCGGATCCTGCTCGCTAACGGCCTACAAGTTGACGCCCTCGGGCTTCGAGTGGGGCTCCAAGAACACGGACAAGGGCAACAATCCCAAGGGCTACCTGCCGTCGCACTACGAACGTGTCCAGATGCTGCTCTCAAACAAGTTCCTTGGCTTCTTCATGGTGCCTGCGCAGAGCAGTTGGAACTACAATTTCATGGGCGTGCGCCACGATCCCAACATGAAGTACGAACTGCAGCTGGCGAACCCCAAGGAGTTCTACCACGAGCTCCACCGCACCTCGCATTTCCTGCTCTTCTCCAATCTCGAGGACGGCGGCGATGGGGCTGGCGCCGATCGGGAGGATGTGTACGCGTAGGAGGCGCGTGTCGGGAGTTTTAGGGTTTTCGTTTAGTGCATACAAACAATTTTATAAGCTTGTTTTCAAAATGCTAGCGCCTAGGTACATTTTGTAATAAAAACCATTCTTTTTCCAACAAGTCACAAGTCGTTGCCATGGAATTCATTCCTCCGCCGCCGCCGCTAAGGCATAGTATTCATAACATTCGTTAACGGTAAGTGTTCTGTATGTATGACTAAAGTTAATGCTAAATTTCTGTTTGGTTCGGTTTTGGTTTCTGTTCCGGTTTCTAGGTACGTTCGATTGACTGCTGACCCGCATTCAGGAGCACTTCCACAGCACGATGGCCAGGTTGCCGGCGAAGAAGAGGTAGAGAATGTTTTCCGTCTCGTAGGAGACCTCGAATCCAAATCCCTCGCCCACAACCACATGCCAATAGATGCCGAACTTCTTGTCCATGTTTTCCTTAATGATTTTGGCAGCGTGCTGGTAATGGATTTTAAATTATAAGTTAGGTTTACTATGTAGTTCTGGGAAGAACTTCAGGGATAAAAGGTTAAACAATAAATTAAGTCACTAATTTTGAGACTCTAGACATCTAATAATCTATAGTTTTTTTGTTAAATCGTACATAAATATTTGAGAAACTTTTAAGTTAGAATATTAACCATTTATTTAATGAACTATCTAATAATTTAAAAATAATCAGAATTTTGTATTCTCATAAAGCAACCTAGATTAACCTTTTATGTGGGTTCTCTTTTGAGGTATTCGACTTACCTCATAGTTAGATGAGTATTTCTCGCAGGCTGTGATGGACAGTTCAATGGCCTCTATCCGCATCTCCTCGTTCATGTCCGAGTGCTTAAATAGGGAGTCACAAGTCAGGATTTAATCCAGGATATTCTATACTTAACCAACCTTCACCAAAGGGTAAACATGCACGATTTTCTTTTCGCCCTCCTTGCCGGCTTCTTCGTCCGCCATGTCTGCGATTCACCAACGACTGAAGGATGGAACCGAAATAATAACTATCACGGAGCCAGGCCAGGCTAATGTAATAAAAATCGAGTTAAATTCCTATTTACATGTGACACACAAGTCAAGGTAAAGGCGGCACTGTAGCTATAGATGTGTATATATAGTATATGAATGGCAGGTGAATGCTTATGAATTCTCCGTTTTTGCGCTATTGTCACGGCAGGATGGCTGCTATGGCAATTTGTTTTTGGGCACGGTTTCGGTTTCGATTGGCCTGCCAGCCTGTCAGGAGCGAGGTTGACTTGCAACTAAACGATGGCAATGGATACGCCGGCTCCGTGCTGACGCCAACTCCATTAACTGGCAACCACAGGCGGAGTTTCTGCGCCGGGGGAAAGTTCCTGTGAGCCGGGGTTTTCATAGCTACACTCGGTGTGCGCTGCGTTTGCGCCAAGTCTGCATGTTAAGGGTCCTTCGTCCCCTGCTGCTGCTTCCTGCATCCCCGGTTTTTGTTGCAAACAAAAGCAATTTCCGTGCGGGTGCCACTGCGAGACAGACGACGCGGCGTCATAGTCATCTTATTGGCGGCAACCCCAATTTTCGCCATGATTTTTGCACTGAAAGTGGTCAGCTGGGGGAGGAATAGCCATTGATGCTTGGAAAAACCCATTGAAACCCACCCCGCACCCATGATGATGCACTCAAAATGTCAACAGATTGTCAGTTAACAAAACATGGGGAATGCTTTTGTTTATTTAACAATCCAACATGGAATTAATGACTCGAAGGAATTATGTAGTTAAAGATAAGTATTACAAAATGAAATGTAAAGTTTTTGAGTATGAATAATATGATCTTATAAGGTAAAAACTAGATGCCAGATCAGGATCCTGAAATATGAATTTATAGTTTTAGTATTAAGAATTAAGAAATTCTATCACTCGTATTTATATAAGTTGAACTTTATAAGCTAAACTTATCTTTTAGGAATTATAAATTATATAAAGGTCTTTGGTTTATCATGACAGTGATTCCATAATTGTTAAAGAAATGGCTTATGTAATGGAAATGTAAAAACAATATTTTAGATCAAAAATTTGAGCGTGACAGTTTGTCAGATTACGACGTAACCAAATGAACATCGTCAAAACTTAAGTATAAACTTAAGTTGTAGTTGAATTAAGAGTTTAAAGTATTAAGTTCCGTTTTCGGGGTTGGAATCCCAGTACTCCTCTTCTTGATCTTGCTCTTGATCAATTAATACAGCCTCCTGGGAAAGGTGTTCAGACAGGTCGTTGGGATCGGACCACTGCGATTCCTCATCGGAATCTTCTATTATAACGTATTCATCCTCAACTTTAATATTGTTTTCATGTAGTAATTCCCCCAAGATTTCTTTTGTAGCTTTTACGTAATGTAGGCGTTCCAATAGGTCTGCAATTGGCATTTTGTAGGTGTCCTGGTAATGATCTATTTCATTCTCTGAAGAATTGGCGATTCTTTTAAAACGATTCAATTCAATTTGCACTTCGTTCCAGATCTTTTCCTTTTCTGTACGCGTATCCACATTGAAGGGATAGTCGACAGAATGAACAAGCTTGTAGGGAGTGGATTCCTCATCAAGCTTGGGATTGGTGACCAACGGATTCTCCAATTGCGATTCCAAGAAATCCTTCCGAACGAATATAGCTATCTGGGACACATGCCCCACCGATTCGAGGTCCTTGGGCGGATTCCCCACTCCCAACAAGGAGAACATGTAATTCGGGTACTTCTCAACAATGCTCAAACACCAGCTTTTGAACTCCTCCCGAGTCCATTCAAACTTGTGATCGTCGTGGCGGAATCCATTCGGCAGCAAAGGATTGAATCTCGTAAAGATTACATTATAATCTGAGTTTGGGGTGCTGAAAACCACCAATTTTGGCTGCATAAAACCAAAAACATTGGATGGAATTTTGGACAAAACATCGTCATATACATGCTCAATTCTGAAAGAAAAATTATAGACTAGTAAAATAAAGAAATATTTTTTTTATAAATAAAATGTTCTACTCAAATATATATAAATTTAAATTGTAATGGGGACATTATTGATACAGTTTAGTTAATTGAGTTATTGATGAATAATTAATTTTATGATTGTAAACAATATTTATAAAAACTAATATACTAAGAAGACTTACAGTTCCAAGGCAACTACGGCGTCTGTATTTCGCAATTCTTCGGAAGAATCTGCAACGCTTCCCTGAAGAATTCGAACGTTCAGAGGACTCAAACGATGCCTTATATAATCAGATACCAAAGGATTGACGCTAATTGAGTTTTTCCTCAGCAAGGGCTCGTCAATATCAACCTGCAAATTAAACGAGTTTTGAAAAATAACCGTCACTAATTGAAACAAAATGAGAATGAAACATAGGACATAATGAATTAATCGAAGTGCAAAAACAAGATCAAATTATTGACTACATTTAGACGGAATGAATGTCAATTTAAAGGCATCTTAGCAATTAACAATTTAAAATTTTAAATCTACTTGTTTATAATTTATTAAATAATGTATTTCTAAGTTTATAAGTAGCGGTCACATAAGAAAAACCTTTTTTAACCCCGTATCCGGTCACACTGGAAAAACTGTGCGTGTGTGTGTGCAGCAGTGCACAGGAAGAATGTGTAATTGTTACGAAAAGTCAAATGGAAACGGAATTACAATAGCAATTATCGTGTGAAAGTGCATTTGTGCACCGTTGCACCTAGTGAAAAGTGTAAGCATTACAATATAAGATCCCAAACAATACAAATCAGCGGAAAACCCCCAAACATTTGAAACGGGGCAAAGAAAACGTAGAAAAACAAGAAGAAGAGAACGAGTAATACGTGAGAAAAATACATACTGCAAGATCAATTTGACTTTGGTCTGCGATAGCAACTTATTAGCACGAGAAAAGTGCTTAACCCGAGGGCAAAACCCCGTGCAACTGAATAAACATGCCAACATTTAGTTCTTTGTTTAATAATGCCGGCCAGAAAATCGATTTTTTTCGGAACCCACAGTATGTTTGTATGTCGGTGTGATTGTGTTCCCAGACATGGTGGTGCGTTCGCGTTTGTTTGTGTTTGTATTCGTGCCCCCGGACGCGCAGCGAATTAAATCATTTTGCAACACTGCCAATTAAAATAAATAAAATAACCAAATGAAATACATTGTGCGAAAAAACACAACACAAAATAATCAAATTTCACAATAAACAATACTGCTAAGCCTCACATCCGTATTAAAAACAATATAAATTTTGATCTGATCTCATACTTCAAAAATAGACAACACCTGCGCTTTACAACACTGCTAGGCACAACAAATGGCAATAAAATGACGAAAATTACTTGAAGGCAAAAAACAAAACAACACAAATCCCAATAGTACAAAAACCTCACAAGACACGCGTTTGAATAAAAACAATACTAATTTCTGCCTGAAGTAATACCACGAAAATAGATAATTAGTGACCTCTCTGTTTCTTCTTCTTTCCTCATCAGTAGATAAAGAAGCGCCGTTGAAAGCGGAATCGCACAAAAACAAACCAACAATTCGAATCACGCCGCCTAAACGTGAGCCTGAGTCACAGAATCCCAGGGGAGTTACCTCCGAAAACGCACCCAGATTCTCGTCTGCTGCCGATATGGGCAAGCGCCTCCAATTGGAGCGCCCAACCACGGACCGCAGTGCCCGCAAGCGAAAGCGTACGGCGGCCAAGGTCGCCGAGAAGTGCCAGCGCTTGACCGGCGGCTCCAGCAGCGTCAATGGCTTCGAGTTTCACGAGAACGACGACGAGGAGTCCTGCTCCTCGGCAGGATCCGCTGGCGGCACGGAGGTGGATCCCCCCACACTATTGCACACCCCGCAGGCTCGTAGTTTGCTCTTGACGGGAGCCAGCATCGCCAGCGATCACAACAACTCCAGTATAATGGAGTCACCGCGCCCGGTTTACACACTCCGACCCTCGGTGGTCAATGGGACCATTCTGAGGGACATGCTTTCCAAGGCCTGGCGCTTAGGGCGACCCATAGGTGAGTGTCAATGGAAACCCATCTGAATTTCGTGAAAACTAAAACCCTGTTTCTTCCCGCAGGCAAAGGCAATTTTGGCGAGATCTTCCTTGCGTCGGACGACACTGTTTGCCCGGCCAGCTCGGAAACAGCCAAATACGTGGTCAAGATCGAACCACACTCAAATGGGCCTCTTTTCGTAGAGATTCACTGCCTGATCAACACATCTCAGAGCAAGGGTAGGCATATGCTCAACTCCCCTTCATAATACCAGCTCTCAAACACCCATATTACAGATCAATTAAATGTCGGCGAAGATGCTGCCATCCTGCCAGTCCAACAGATGCATGCTCTCAGCAAGGGACCGCCCTCTGGGATACCCAGCTTTATTGCCTCAGGCACGCACTACTTTGGAGATGCCCGTTATCGCTTTCTTGTGCTACCGCGCTTTGATCGTGATCTGCACTCGCTGATCAAAAACTCAAAGGTGCATCAGAAGTCACTCCTAGTGCTAGCTGTGCACATAATTAATGTACTGGAGAATCTGCACGATAAGGGATATTGTCATAACGATATTAAGGCCCAAAACCTGATGGTGTCCAAGTGCAAGTACCTCAGGAAGCAGGCGGTCCCGAAGGGCAATGGCTACGACGAGCACTATGAGGAGAAGCAACAGACCACGGACAGCGGCAACAGTTCGGAGCAGGAGACAAATGATGATGAGTACTTCCTGAAGAACGAAAAGTTCGCCCTGAAGCGGATTGCACATATTAAGCAGGACGAAGACGAAGATGACGAGGACTTTGATGATGGCGCGACATCGAACAGCAACAACAGCAACAGCCTGGATATCTACCACACGCCAGTGAACAAGAAGCGAACTGCACGTAATCCAGTCCAGTTCAGCGGCTCCAATCCGGTGCGCTCATGTCGTCGCGAGAAGCGCAACTCCATGTACGAGGAGATGGTCAAGTCACACTATCTGCGCCCCACAAAGCGCATAAGTTACCGCGAGGAGTTCAACGAGGAGGGCTATCCCAAGGCGACCGCGGAAAACAGTGATGAATCGCCGGAATCCTCTGATAACGAGTCGGATGAGTTCATTCCGCCCTCGTCCTGCCGCTCGGTCAACAGAAGAGGCAGAAGTGCTCAGGCACCCAGTCCCAAAAAGTGCTCTGTTTCAACCCGGGCCACCCGGCACCAGGAGAAGCAGAAGAAGGAACCTAATGGTGACCAAAAACTGCGCAGCAGGGTCATCAAGCACGGTGAAAGCAACCCAACTGAGTACAAGTTTCTGCCCGTCGAGGAGGAGCATGTTTTCCTCATCGATTTTGGCCTGGCGTCCAAGTACCAGGATCGCGGAATCCACCGCCCCTTCATCATGGATCAGCGTAGGGCGCATGACGGCACGCTAGAGTTCACGTCACGCGACGCTCATCTGGGCGCCCATTCGCGGCGCAGTGATCTAGAGTGCCTGGGCTACAACCTGCTGTATTGGTCCGAGGGATATCTACCTTGGAAGGATGTGGCCCAACAGCAGCAGCAGGAGAAAGTGCACCGCACCAAGGAGCTGTTCATGACGGACGTGCCTGAGATGCTGCGACAGTTCTACGGCAAGCAAGTTCCTAAGTATCTTGGCGAGTTCCTGCTGCAGATCAGTCAGCTGGCTTACCAGGAGAGACCCAACTACGAGCGCTACCGCAAAATCTTCAAGCGCGAGTACCAGCGTCTGGGCCACGATCCCAATCAGATGCGTTTGAGCAGCGAAGAGATCCTGCGCACTTGTGTCTCCGCTAAGGATGTGGTGGATGGCAGCAAGTGCGACATCTTCGAGCTAAACAACAAGATAGCCACCAATGTGATGCGCAACTCAGCGCTGAGCACTCCGTTCCAGGAGCATTCGCTCACGAACCGCGTATCTCCCAAAAATCTGCGTTCTAAATCTAACAAAAAAGCGACGAAAAAGAAGTTCTCGTGGGCGGAGGTGCTCTCACAGGATCCCGATCAAATAGCCCGCGAACGGGCGGTTAAGGAGTTTGAGCGGGAGGAGTCCATCTGCCCGCTGGAATCCCGTCTTCCAAAGCGCTACGAGGGCAAGCCCACCTACGCGATACTGGCCATGGAGCAAAATCGTCGCGAAAAGGGCTTGGTTGTCCAGGATCATAATGACGAAGAGGAGGAGGAAGATGATGAAGACGAGAACCAGGAGGTCCAGGGTGGTGAGCCGGAGGACGAAGAGGAGGAAGATGAGGACGCAGATAGCGTTGATGGAGAAGTAAGTTATATCATTTAAAACCAGCTGAATGAATTTCTGTAATACAGCTTCTAAAAGAGCCCTTATTAATATATTTAAATCTTTAACGCAGGATGAATCGGATGGCGCTGCAGAGGAGAGCGACTGCTCCGATCATTCCGAGAAAGCTGTGCGTGGCCGTCCCAGGGGCTCCACACGCAAGCGAACCACCAGCAAACAGAGCCAGGCTCAGCAGAATCAGCATCCGCCGGTCAAGGCCCATCGCGGTGTGGGACGTCCGAGCAAGAACTCGGCCGTCGTGCGGTTCGCCCCGGGAGCCGTGAGCAAGAGCCGCTCCACGCCGCTCTCGGCAGTGGCCAGTAACAAACGTGGCTGCGCCACACGCAAGGAGAACAGCTCCACTCTGGCCTCGGCCACCGGCGAGGGGGAGCGGAAACTGAAGACGAGCCGCACGCGCAGAGCTCTTTATAAGACTGAACCCAAAAACGGCGAGCACGATGCGGAGAACAACTCGAGCCTGCTGGAAGTGCAGAATCTGTACGGAGAATACGATGACGAGAACAACTATGGCAAGGGGCGCGGTGTCCACTCGTCCAGGCACTGTCGCAAATGATTGCCAGATGACACTTAGGAATAGAGACTAGGAGTGATCAATAGGAAGTCGGATGGCAACGGATGAAGAGAAGGACAAGGACAGAGAGGCAGAACAGAAGAAACCTAAATTCGTTTTCAAGTATTTTTAGTGGTAATTAAGGTACGAACAGGACAGAACCTACTTATATATACACACTTCGGACCTGAAACGCAGGCGGAGCGTGGACTCGATCTAGTGAGATCGACTTCATAATGTGTAATTTTGGTTTTTTAAACATTAAATCGATAAGTTTTCGTAAGTTTTTTGGTTGGCACGCTCACCTCCATAGGGAAGATGTTGTTGAATTATCCATTATACCATGTAGTCCCCAGTTGTAAGAGATGTTTGTGTGTTTAAACGGTGCGCAGGAGCAGTGCACCATTGCCTTGATAGCAAATCATTGATTTTTAAATTCTTATTTTATTACTTGAAAATTTTATGTTAGTTATGTTAGAATATACATCATCCTATAGACCAGATGTACGCCCCGTTTCACCCATATTTTATGCAGCCCGGTACATACTCTCCTCAAAAGTATTTAATATAACTAGATAAAGTTATTTGATAAACATGATACAAGTCTAAGTTAGGATATATATGCGTGTATAAACTAGCAGCGGAAATAAATAAAATAGAATTGTATTTCCTTAATAACTAATCTGAACTCGTTTATTTTTCATTGATCTTGTGGAATAAACTAAAGCTTTTACCAGTAGAATATTTTCTATTGGATTTCCTTAACTAAACAAAAATCTTTTCTTTAATCTTGTGGAATAAGCTAAAAGTTCCTACCATAAGATTATGCTCTATTGAATTTTTTTAATAATTAAACTGAATTACTGTCCTTTTTTTAATATTGTGGTATAAACTAATTGTTCTTACCAGTAGAATATTTTCTATTGTCTCAATGCGACGCATTAGCTGAAAAAAGCGCATCTCCGCACAGCCAAACTCCACAACTTTCTTGATCTGCTCCGTCCAGCGGGAGTCCTCCAGGAACTGGATAGCGGCACAGTAACGCTGCTCGTACACCGGCGGATCAAAAGTAATCCCGGTTTCAGTCATTGTTGTTAGTGTTTGGAAATCCCCGCAGGGAAACTTGTAGCAAAACATTGCGCGTCGTATAAGAGTGACCTCAAAGCTCTACGTGAAAAATCTTTATGGAATCGAACAGGTAAAAGTATCTGAAATCGTGATTATTATATCGATAGTTATTGTATTTGAATTAGGGCGGTAAATTTATGATACAGAGATCTTTAGAGGCTTAGAATCTATTGAAAGTAAGTCTTCAGGTTTCGGTCTCAAAATATGCTAGCCATTAAAGACCTTAAACACTATTATGAAAACTTTTTAAAATTATTTGAATTGAAAAGTTTTTTTTTCTAATACAGCTGTTTTAATCAGTTTTAAATTTAATCAAATAGCTAGACAACCATTGCTCTAAAAATAAGCTTATGTTTAACTCTCTATAAGCAAATTAGGTCTAAAAAGTATGTGTTTATTTTAATAATTGAAATGTGTTTATTTAATTTTTGGTTTGAAAAGCCACTAAATTTAAATTGACAGATCTTAAAAACTAAATATCAATATTCAAAGGGGCATATTATATTTCATATTGTACTCCTTTGCTACTGCAAGAATACATTTTTAAAATGCCCAACTTTATGGAAATCAGTCTGGCTTTTGTGGTCAGGGGAATCACGCAACTTCCGGCATCCTTTCCGGACGACCTTCGCTGCAGGTGTTTGCCTCACATTTGCATCGAAACTGGTGGGTTGTTAAACCCCAACAACCACCAGCCACTCGACCGTCGAATAATCAGACAGGTCTGCAGGTCGTGGGAGTTTTCCGTATTGGTGTAATGTTTAATGGACGGATAATGCCAACGTCAGCGGCTCCATGTCCCACATTAAAAACGTTTTTAGTTTTCAACCTGCTGCCATAATTTCCAGGCTAATTGACCCGCGTTTGAAATGGAAATTTAGAAATCAATAAATTTTAGTGCCCCGCGCTGGTGGAGGACCTTTCCCCACGGTTGCCATAATTATACACGTCGGCTGTTCTGTCGCCGAGGACTCCCTTTTATTATTGTTTGCACTGAAAGACGTGGCCGGGGCTCATAAAGCCATCAAATGCGGCAGAGCACTGAAAACAAAGCTGATATTGCTACTTGTATATCAAAATGTATTAAATTATTATGTTAAACTAAATTGAGTTAACCAAATGAGAAAAAAACTTGAAGCCTTTCATATAAATACAAAAAAAAAGTCTGAGAAAATATGATACAACTAATGGTTTGATTAATCATAGTTACTCTACTTTGTTGTCCCTTTTGATGTACTAGAAAACGAACTTTTAATAAAACGTTCTAAAAATTCGAAAGTTCGAAATTTAATAAAAAAAACTATTTTTAAAAGAAGTTCATTAAATTTAGTTGTGATTTAAAAACAAGTTTATCAATGGATCAAGAAAACACTAAAGGAAGATTTAATAAATTAAGTCTTTTAAACATCAAAAATTCCCAAAAAAGCCGTTACCAATTATTTGATTATTTGAAATACGAAGTAAATTGTTAAATTATTTTCCGTGTAAATTGGGCCGGCAGTCCGCACGGAAACCGAAAATCCAATAAGCCATCGGTGTGTGTGTACGGTTTGGGTTCCTAGCCTTGCGTGCTCCACGAAGTCTTCGGTTTACCAGTTCAGTTTGCATTCGCCAACCGTGCTTTCAAGTTGTCCGTCAAAAGATGGCCAAGTTCAGTCCGCACCAGCTGTCGAATCCTCGGGCGAATGTCTTCATCCTGGTCAATCTGGGATGCGAAATGCTCTACGTGATCGATCAGCGGCTGAAGGCCCAGCAGATTGCACAGGATAAGTCAATTCAGGGTGAGCAATCCTGATACCCATAATAGTCAGTTACCAACTGCGAACTCAAATATTATATTTGACTTCTAGTTCAAGTCCTTGCCATTTGCAAAAGTCTCCTTTGATGTTTGCCAAAGGTTAAAGAGGACTAAATTTATCAAGTGCTTTTAAAAAGTTCAAATCGTAGAATATCTTTCTTAAGTTGGAAAGCCAACTCCTAAAAAAATTTTTTAAAATACAAATTTACAAATCAATGATATTGAAGTTGTTTATTTTAAAATTTGGAATATTCCACTTGAGCTAATGGTCCGTAACAATAGATAAATAGATAGATTTTTATAAGCAATAACCCTTCGGCTAAGTTTTTAAATAACTCTGACTAAAGACAGCCATGCAATAAAAGAGTTTTGTTATCTAAACCTGACGATATATTCCCGGAATACATATCTCACAGTTATTCACGATGTGACCGCGGTGCTGCTGGAGCCCAAGTTTATAGACTCCTTGCTGAACGGATCGAAACACAATAATGCCCAGCTCCTGACCGCCGAGCACTGCAAGTTCATGCTGAATGACATCGCCACCTGCTCCTTGATGAGACTCGATGACCAGTCGATGTCCAAGCTGTGGAACCTGATGACCATGGTCTACAAGTGGCAGCTTTTCGTGTCCCGACATCAGCACCACCTGCTGGAGATTACCTTCCGGCACTTGGAGGCGGTCAATAGGTTGTATCCCGATGCCAAGCGACACATGTTGATTGACTTCACGAAGAACACACTGCTGGATTTCTGGAACGCCAGCGGGGAGGAAGCCCAGCTGTCCATTTACCAGACGAACCGCGCCTGGCTGCAGTGCTTCAACACCAAGATATCGCTGCTGATTCGCCTGGGATTCCAGGCCATGGACGGGAGTTTCTTCAAGGAGGTGGACCAGGAATACTTCACGGAGTATGTCCAGTCGGCGGGCGATAATATCTATGTGAAGAGTGCAGAGCAGCGGGAACAGCAGGAACGGGAGCCCAACAGCATGGATCAACTGGCCGCCCAGCTGAACATCAGTCCACCGCAAGGCGAGGATCTGCAGCCGATCAATGCCCGCCAGTTCCAGCAGCAGTTCGAGCAGGCCTTCGGCAATGTGATTTTCGATGATCCGGTGGCCAGCAGCTCCTCCGGCTGCGAGTTTGTCCAGCTGGAGCCCACGACGCCATCTACGGCGATGTCGCGGGGTGGATCCTTGCTGAACCAGAACCTGCTCGACTTGTACAGCAAAATTCCTTAGAGCCAGTGCCTTTCGTTTAGAAAATATTGTATTTCTTGTTCAGTTGGTTTTTGTAAAATAATTATAAAAACGCAGTAAGTTGCATAGTTCTTGTTTGTTTTTTGTTTTGTTTTCATCGAAGACATTGTTGTGATCAAAAAAATGAATCAACGTTAGAATTTTGAGCTTGCGACTTGTTGTGAAATATGTGGGGGTGTGTTTGGTGCAGGGTAAAATAGAACCAAAGGTCGAAATGTACAATTACAAATATAAAAGTTAAGGGCGTGCTCCTCTCATCGCGCTGCTGCCTGCGCTACAGACTTATGGCAACAACATGTATATTAATCAATTACTCTCCTCATTTTGTGTGTCTCGCTTGTAATACGCTGCCTCCAGTCAAAGTCAGCAAAGGAAAAGTTCGTCCGTGTTGGGTGGTGGTTGTGGTGATGGTTGGCCAGCGTCAGGATCCGATTACATCTTCGCCTTGAGCGGCACTGCGTCCACCATGATATGAAGGGCCATCTTGAGGCACTCCTCCGCTGAGCTGATCTGCTCGCACGGATATGCGGCGCCGTATTGCGTAAGGAAGTCGCAGTACTTCCGGTAGTTGCTGACCGCAAAGTCGTAGTTGTAGGCGCCCAGCGATTTCATGTCCGTGTCATCGGTCACGGATGGCACCGTCGCCTTGTGCGGCATCCGCCTGAAGGTGGGGTAGTCCAGCTCGCAGCCCTCGCACTTGCAGTCGAAGCGGTACTGCATGGACAGTGTGTCCAACCGCTGCTGCTTGCTGAAGATGGCGAAGTGGGCGCTGTAAGGAAGGGAAAGCATTTCTTTAAGAATGTGTTGTGCTATTACGAAATAGGCCACCACTCACCCATAGTTGTCGTAGAGCACATTTCCCGCCTTAATCGGCCGCAGGACGAACAGGTACGCCTTGGTGCCCTCGTATATCCTTAAAGTATTCGGCGCACACGAGTGATTTAGCAGCGAGAGGAAGGCGTACGCCCCGGACGAGTGCGTCTGGTCGTCCTTGGTCTCGTTAACCTGCTCCACCAGATCAATGCCGTGCATATTCGATGGGGACGTCTGCAGGTGCCGGAACAGCAGGTCCGTGAAGAAGTTCATGCCTTCCTCGCCGCCCAAATAGTCCTTGAGCGGCGTGTATTCGATAATAAAGTGCTTGAGCACGGCACAGACCACGGAGCGCTGGAAGAGATCGGAGACGGAGCGCAGGTGCTGGTTGGTCACCAGTCCGTGGATGGCCCGGTAGTGCTCCTGCGGCGACAGCTGCCCGTAGTCCAGGTCGAAGGCGCACTTGTGCTGATTCTGCGGCTGCTCGCAGAAGGCCATCAGTTCCTCGATGCTGGGATACAGATCCAAGGCGGCCAGCGTGGTCCGCAGGGCGATGCCGTGGATCTTGTTGAACATGCGGTGCAGAAAGTCAATGATGGGGCACTCGAAGCGGTGATAAGTGGACGTGGCCTGCTGCTTGCACTCCTCGGAGCAGAACATCACGGAGCAGCAGCTGTCGCAGGGTATGAGGGTCAGGTAGTTCTCCCGCTTGCAGGTGGCGCAGCGGATGTACCGCATGGGCGGCAGCAGTGTGGAGCAGAAGGGCTGCTCCACGGCCACCAAATCCCCGACGACCAGATCCCGATTGCTGACCACAAAGCGTCCCTCGTCGGCGGACTCGCGCAGCTCCAAACAGTCGGCAATGTACGGCACCTGGGCGTGCGAATCGAAGCTGAGCTTGAACTCGTAGGGCACCACATCCGTCGGTTGTTGCTCCAGCAGCTGCTGGCAGTCCCGCTCCCGTTTGTCCAGCTTGTGGCTCAGCCTGGCCGGATAGTTGGCCTTCCTGGCCAGCTCGATGTTGGCCAGGCACTCCCGGTAGCGCTTCCATTCGAACAGAACCGCCGACCGGTTGGCATAGCCTATGGACAGGTGCTCCGAGTTGGGCTCGGCATAGCAGATGCTTTTGTTGTACAGCTCCAGGGCCTGAAAAGTATAACACAGTGTTATTTTGGGTCTGGAATGGAGCCGTTTCTATAGGAAACCAACCTGAAAGTATTTCCTGTTCTTCAGCGAGAACTGCTCGTTGCCCAGCATCCGGAACTCCACGCTCCGCTTGTTGCACTTGTCCTCCCGGAGCATTACGTTCAGGAAGATCTTCTCCATGTACTTGAAGTCGATCAGGGCCCGCTCCACGAAGTCCACCTTGCGGTAGTTCTCCTTCAGCTCGTTGAACTTCCCGGAGATGATCCCTATTAGCTTCCAGTCGTTCAGCTTCTTCACCAGATCGTCGCTCACGTCGTACACGTCCATCTTGTGAGCGGGAGGGATAAGTGTGCTGGTCCTGGTCCTGGTCCTGTATGTCCTGGAGACTTCTCCGGATCGGATCGGATCGGATCCTACGGTTCGGTCCGCGTGTCGGCGACGCCGCCTGTTTTTTTCAGCCGGAAAATCGGTTCGTTTGGCCCCCTGCCGCTGCCGCGAATTGTTTAGCTGGCGCACGTGCTGACGGCTAATTTGCGATTTCACAGACAATTTCGATTCGGCAATATTGCGATTATCCGCAGGGCGATTAAAATGTTATTTTTTGCGAATCCGCTGGTAGTGTGGTATAGCCCACCAATAATTAACCCCGCATTGCCGGCGAATGTACTAAAATATACCAACGAATTTGAGCTTGCCTTAGCCAGGACACACCTCAAAGGGTCCATGTGTCCACTAACTGTGGATTATGTATTCGCTTACTAACGCCAAAACCAATCCCAACCCGCACTTTTTGCTTAAACTTTTTCGCCGATCTGGCAAGACTTTGTTAAAAATTAGTGCTGGAAAAGGTAGTTATACCGCGTATTTGAATTTGTCCGAAAACTTTTTATGTTCAAGTCAATTTGAATTATTGGAAATATATATGTATATTTTATAGTTATTAATTTTATGTTCTAAATTAAATTTTATAAAACATTTGATGTCCTATTTTGATATTGCTGTTGCCATGCGGTTAACAAAGTGACTTTTTCAAAATAAAAAAATATAAATATTTTAATTGATATCTTTGTATACCGATAGTCATCGCAGTGCTTTCACGCACTTAATCTATGTTGGCGCCATCTTTGAATTCCCCAAGGGAAGTGCACACACTGGCGGCCATTTCTTTTCTTCTGTCAAAATCTGAATTTTGAAGAATTCGGGCAAATTTGGCAATTTGATCAAATTGTTTATTCAGTTTGCGTGCTCAGACGGCCGCCGCACCAGTTCGGTTCAAGTTGAAGGCAAGGGAATATTATTTTTAGCCAGTAGGCCACAGCTAAGAACACTTCTGGCCTGTCTACAAATTTTCTATTTGGCTGTGTCTGCAAATAAATCAAACACTTTCGTATCATATCAAGAGAAGCAAAAGCAGGAAAGTATGTAAAAATAGGGAAAGGGCGTGGGTTGAGTTATGAATTTATGGCTTGTTCGATTTTATAGAATGCCCATCATTCGGCTGGAGTCTTCCGACAAGGAGATATTCGACACGGACCAGGAGATAGCCAAGTGCTCGGAAACGATTCGCACGGCTCTCGAGGATCTGGGCGATGAGAGCGACAACAGTGTGCTGCCCTTGCCGAATGTCAACTCGCTGATCCTGAAGAAGGTGCTCCACTGGGCCACCTACCACAAGGATGATACCATGGTGACCGAGGAGGACGAGAACAAGGAGAAGCGCACGGATGATATCTCTTCGTGGGACGCCGATTTCCTCAAAGTGGACCAGGGCACCCTGTTCGAGCTGATCCTGGCCGCCAACTACCTCAATATCCAGGGCCTCCTGGACGTCACCTGCAAGACGGTGGCCAACATGATCAAGGGCAAGTTGCCGCAGGAAATCCGCGACACGTTCGCCATCAACAACGACTTTTCGCCGCAGGAGGAGGAGCAGGTGCGCAAGGAGAACGAGTGGTGCGAGGATAAATAGCTGGAGATGCCTCATTAGCCCATTGGAAGGATTGTTAAAGTTCTTATATTATCAAAATAAATCATTGCAAAAGCATTGCTTCTAATTGTTGCGTTTGATTAAAATGTATTTAGTTTTTAAGTTATTTCTGGACTGCACCAAATCAGCAATCATTATCATGAATATGACATTTTGAAATTGTTATTATCTTGATAATATAACATTATACTGTCGTCAGGAATACGAAAGTACATACGTGTACCCTAATGCTGATTATTATGATAATAGAAATTGTTATATTATCTCAACATAATAAAATTGTTTAACATTTTACAATAACTTTAAATGAGCTCAAAGTTCAGATATAAAAAAATATACTCCTTCTGTAAATTTAAAATGTTTAATCCCCTACATTCGTATCAAAATAATAACAAATATCCAACGTTTAAATAACGTTATTTACAGGCAGCTTAAGAATGGAATGTATTTTAAGTACATGTTAAACAAGAGCCCGCGCGATGATGTCCATAATCTTGGCCAGGATGGAACTCACTAGATTGGCGACCAGGCCCAATATTGTGAAGATTAGATCGACGAGGCCCACAAACTCGTAGGTTCGCAGGAATTGGAAGACGAAAAAGGCGGCCACCACGACGATGACGGGTTTCACCAGGGAAATCAGGAACCGGAAGGCGAAAATGAGTGCGTACCAAGAGATGACCAATAGCAACACGTATGCGATCAGTTCGCCCAGGTCAGAGGGCATGGACACGTTCTTGGAGATGAACTCGTGAAAGACCGTGAAGAAGGACCCGTCGTTCTGCCAGTCACCTCCTTTCTGTCTGAAATCCTTGCAGCTTCCCCGCTCCATGGTTTAGTTGAACTTTACTGACGCTCTATGCAAGGCACACTGAATGAGCCGATCGTGCGTGTTTAAGTGTGATTCACAAAATTCCATTTGCGAAATCTTAATCAAAACAAATCTTGAAGTGCCGAAAATCAGCTGTTGAGTGTGACCATATCCCGATCGTGTAGCTGCAGCCCTGCAGGGTGTATACTTTTTAAGGTAGCACAAACTTGTTTTATTATTATTAAAAAAATTTAAGTTTTGATTTAATAACCCATTTTAAACTGTGTAAAGAGCAGTATAATTTTTAAAATTTTATAATAACTTTAAATAAGCTTAAAATTGAGATATAAAACCGACATAGACATTGTAAATTTAAAATTTTTAATCCCCTACCTTCGTATCAAAATAATAACAAATATGCAACATTTAAATAACGTTATTTACAGGCAGCTTAAGAATGGAATGTATTTTATGTATTAAACAAGAGCATGCGCGATGATGTCCATGATCTTGGCCAAGATTAGATCGACGAGGCCCACAAACTCGTAGGTTGGCAGGAATTGGACAACGAAAAAGGCGGCCACCACGACGATGTCGGGTTTCACCAGGGAAATCAGGAACCGGAAGGCGAAAATGAGTGTGTACCAAGAGATGACCAATAGCAAGACGTAAGCGATCAGGAACCGGAGGGCGAAAAGGAGTGCGTACCAAGAGATGACCAATAGCCACACGTATGCGATCAGTTCGCCCAGGTCGGAGGGCATGGACACGTTCTTCGAGACGAATTCGTGAAAGACCGTGAAGAAGGACCCGTCGTTCTGCCAGTCACCTCCTTTCTGTCTGAAATCCTTGCAGCTTCCCCGCTCCATGGTTTAGTTGAACTTTACTGACGCTCTATGCTAGGGATGTCAAAAATATATCAAAATATCAATATATCGATATTTTTTGGAAAAAAAATATATATTTATATCGTGATATTTTTTTAGCCAAATATCAAAATATCGATAGTTTATTTTTCGATATTATTTGATACTTGCATATCTTTCTCTCATGTACATAAGCATGCCTCACACCGACTGGGACAGCGATCTGGTGGAATTCTGGTACTCCCAGAAAGACAATTTACCAAATCTTTCCAGTGTTGCACTAAGCTACCTAATTACCCCGGGTAGTGGTGTCGTCAGAGCGGTTAGCGTCGGCTATTAAGTGCGTTGTCTGCGACAAACGCAGCCGCATGACCGACCGACACATAACGGAAAGAGTATTTTTAAAATCCATATGCAAAGACTTATGAAACTAATAAAATAACAAATGTAACAAAACGTATTTCATTTTTTATATTTTTCTAGTGCTTTTACTTTAATTTTATGGCAAAAGTCTTGTTTCCTTGTTGTTAGCTTATTTAAGCGGCTAAAATTTTGAAATTCAACTGAAAAAAAAATATCAAAAATATCTAATATATTGATATTTTTCTTAAGGAAAATATATCAGCGATACGATATTTTAAAAATATTTGACATCCCTACTCTATGCAAGGCACACTGAATTGAGCCGATCGTACGTGTTTAAGTGTGATTCACAAAATTCCATTTGCGAAATCTTAATCAAAACAAATCTTAAAGTGCCGAAAATCAGCTGTTGAGTGTGACCATATCCCGATCGTGTAGTTGCAGCCCTGCAGGGTGTATACTTTTTAAGGTAGCACAAACTTGTTTTATTGTTATTAAAAAAAATTTAAGTTTTGATTTAATAACCCATTTTAAACTGTGTAAAGAGCAGTATAATTTTTAAAATTTTACAATAACTTTAAATAAGCTGAAAATTGAGATATAAAACCGACATAGACATTGTAAATTTAAAATGTTTAATCCCCTACCTTCGTATCTAAATAATAACAAATAAATAACGTTACTTACAGGCAGCTTAAGAATGGAATGTATTTTATGTATTAACAAGAGCACGCGCGATGATGTCATCGCTATAAAAAAACAACGAGTTTATATTTTTCAAAATTTATTTTTAGTGGATAGCCTCAACGTTGCGGCTTATGTATGAAACACCACTTCGTTCATATGGCTGCCTCGTGCGCAACCATGTACTTTTTAAGGTAGCACAAACTTGTTTTATTGTTATTAAAAAAAAAAAATTTAAGTTTTGTTTTGAATTATGCATTTAAAACTATGTGAATAGCAGTATAAAATGAAAAACTGGACCTCGGTTTATATATATTTTATATATATATCCATGCATGGATATTAAAAAAAAGTAGTGGCGTAAAGAGCTTTTTAACATTTAAAAAAATATATATTTGTGTATTTTGCACTATTATTTTATTGCAATTTTAATAAAAGCATGGAAAGACGTAAAAATGAATTTAATCGATTTTAATGTTTAAAACGTATTAAGTTACTGGACATTGTCAATATATAAATAATTGGGTTCCAGCGCTTTTTCATTTTTTACAACGACAAACAAGCTATTAAATGAATTTCTGCACAATTATAAAATGCATTATATATATATTGAAAAACACGTTTTAATTATTTATGTGGCGTTCTCATAATTGGTGGTTTAAATTTCAAATTAGCTTTTATTATCGGTTTATTAAGACAAACGGTTATCGCGCATTGATGGCTCCTAATTACTTCTCTCAAGTTGCCAACAAAACAATTACTTTCTTTCAAAGTGAGTTGGGTGAACGTGGCCATAGATCTAAATGCGACCTTTCAACTTCGACGCTGTGCATTGAACTGGCTGCAAATTCGCTAAATCCCAGCGATTCCCCCGGGAAAACCTGGCAGGCAAAAAGGTAAGAGGCTGCCTGTAACTGATGCTATACAAAGAAAAAAAAAAACAGAAAACAGAAAAAAACAGCAGGCGAACAATAAGCAATTTCCTTTTCCTTTAAGCTCTCTTGGTTCAACGTACTGCACCCACAGCCCGCAAAGAAATCGCATTTTAATAGCCGTCGAATCGCCCACCAACACGCAAATTGGAATAAATGGCGCCAGAACAGGATTTTCTTTTCGCAAGTCGTATGATCGGTGGGTGTGAAAATCATAAGGAGCAGACTTAATTTACTTGGGCCCTAGGCAGTTGCACCGAAACTGTAGTTTCATTGTTCATCCTGTCAACTTGCCATTAGCTATGCTCTTTTCCAACTAGCTTGTTCTGGGCAAACTACATGGGACAATGGACAATGGGCAGCCAGTGCAAACAGATGTCCATCCAACTTGGCTTCAGTTGCACTCTGGACTAGAAACGAAACTTCAGGGAACTGAACTCGACTTGATGCAACTGACAGGATGACTTTGACACAAGGCCCAGGAGGACAGATGGTCGGCTCCATAAATAAAACACATCCACTGACGGTGATGCCAACGAACTATATAATTCATTAAACAAGACGCATAGTTCAAGCTGAAATGGAGGAAGGGAAAAACTTTACAACGAAGCCAATAATTTCTCTTTAATAAATCTACTTCAATAAAGAAGGTATTAACTTTTCAACATCGATAGAAATATCGGCTTCTTGGGCTATGATTTAAACTTAACAACTCCAATAACTTTGTCAAACAATAAATATCACATACATAGTATATTTGGTGAATAAGAAACTAAATAGACAAATATTTACTATTGAACGAATAATTTGTAAAATTTTACGTGTATTGTTACCCCATAAAACAAACATAGTCTTACTTATTTTATTTTGCAGACACAGATTTAGTTTAGTAAAAGGAAACCAATTAGAGAAGTGCCTAAAAGTATGCTTTGAAAAGCATGTACTTATAAATTTCGTCCTTTGACCTTTCGATTCCAAATGTATTGTCAATGATAGAAACGTATAACCAAACCTTTAGGTTCTTTAGCAAACATCCAAATTGCCATCTCTGCCAGCTGACCCAATGTTAGTTGGTCTGATTCTGTGTGTGTTTGAGGGTGTTGTAAGTGCAACAACTGTGTCACGCCTTGTTTCTGTAAACGACAAAAGCGGAGAATAGTGCAGAATGTATGTGCGAATAAGCGAGTGGACGTGGCGCAGGACGAAGGAAGAAGGAGGAAGGACAACGACAAGCTGCTAAAGCCAGCTTGTTACTATTTCTGGCCTTTGTTGCTGGCTTCATAAAAGTGTTGTGCTGAGCTGTGTTGTGTTGTGTTGTGTGTTGTCCACGTGTGTTTGAGTGTGCACGAGCGTTTGTATGTTTGCCGGGCTTTTCCTGTTGCTCGTTCGACTTCTGCCTGAGCGTTTCCGCTTCCTTTCATTTGCCATTCCGCCCATTCCGCCCATTCCGCCCACTCCGCCCTTGCCGCCTTCTTGCCCCGCCCACTTTCTATCTGGCGTTTCATTTTTGCTTGTTTTGGATTTGCTTTGCTCTGCGGCTATTTGCTTGACTAATTCCTAGAGACCCTTAAATATTTAATACACTCGCACCAGGCTAAAAAAGCATTTGAAGCACTTGAAAGCACAGGGAATTTTTAAACCAAATTTGTCGGTGGCTGTAGAGATTATTACTCCCACGTGCAAGTGGGAATTCCAGCTTTACCTGCCAACTCCATGGAAAACCTGTCGTTGACACCTGTCGCTCGCTTCACTTGCACAATGCACTGCACTACACAAAACCAAAATAATTATGATCATTATACTACAATGTTCCAAATAAAAAATACATCATTTCAATATTAATATATAATATAGATATATATGATATATTTTACACGAGTTGAAATAGGTTTATAGCCCCAAAACAACTATCCGATGTATTGTTTTCTTACCAGAATTAAATCATCGAATAAATGTTTGGTTTTATAAATTTAAGTAATATTAGTTTATACTTTATTAACATTTTTATTATATTGTTTCATAAACATATGATTATTTTTGCTTGTGCTCTTGCACTTTTCGACGTCTCCCACTCCATTTCAAGGGGCACGTGTCAGCTGGAAAGTGCATCGCATCCGGCAACCGCAACTTTGCAACTCAGAGTTGACCTTTTCGAGGTGGAGACTCTTGAGCTGCGAGTTTCTGATGCTGTCGCTCACCGGGGGCAAAGTCATTTGACATAGTCAACTTGTTTTAAATTAATGAGCACCACCGAAAAAACGCGCATAAAATTGCTTTGCGTCCTGGGCGAGAATGGTGGAGTGGTGGTGTGGCA